ATATATATATAATACTAATGATCCTACCACTCGCATAATAATATGTGACTTTTTTTTAAGTGTTTTTATGGTATTCATACTCATACTACACATTCGTAATTAGTTAAACCTTAGATTGGATACTTATTCCTGTTTTTAATAATTTTTGATTGGGTGGCTTAGTGTGGAACAGTATGGGTTAGTAGACGCCAACTTAACTGGGATATTGCGATAGCTGTCACATAATTAGTTGAAAAAAAAAATCAAAGATAATTACATCTGATCTATAAAAAAAACTTAGTTCTAATGATTTCAGAATTGTCCCTTTCAATTTTACCTATATATCTTTCCTGTTTCTTGTTAATGATCTCGCTCGTTTCTTTATTCAATGTTCTAGCTGTTTGCATATGGATCCCCCATATTGTTCAGTATGGCTTTAATTAAGCCCGTTAGCTTGTTTCGGGTGTTGGGTCAAGGCCCATGAGTTGTTTCGGCTTGCCGACCAAGACTTGCAGACGACTTCCCTTTGAAGAGAATAAATATATATGCAGAGCATAAATATATATATATATATATATATGCTAATTAGCGTGAAGGAGGCATAACAGCGCGTACAGTTTGGTTATTCTTATTAATACACAGTTTTTTCTCTTTTATTTCTGATTTAGTCAGAGAATTTAATTCTTTCATAGTTGGTGTTGTGTGGTAAAATATGGGTGACAGGTTGAGCGTCGAGAACATGACACGTAGTCCTACCTCCTCTTCAAAGGTGGCCCCCCTCGACGCCAAGACATCGATCATCCTTGACGCCAAGAGTTCGACTACCCTTGACGTAGCAAAGAAAGGCCCAAATTAGGGTGTTGACCCGTTGTGACGTCGAATTTATGCAAACAGCCTTCGGAAAGATTAGGAAGGGCATAAGATCCGCGCGGCACAGACGCCGAGAGGAAGATGTCTGACACCATAAGTTGCGTCCAGAATTGGGATACGTCTGCAATATGGGCATTAATTATAAACCCTTAAACCGCCATGCAGTGGGCAGTGAGAGATTACAGGAATTCACAGAGCCGTAATAGAAGACTAAATGGCTGAGTGAACAGTCCAAAAGTGATTAGTGGGCTACGGTCTTAACTTAGAAGGTAGGCCACTCGAGTACTTCCACTTATGAAGGAAAACCACCCACGAAGGAAGCTTGGGCTATAAAAAGAGCAAGCCCCATACGCCAAAGGAGAGGCTCTCCAAAGCATAAGAGAAGATAGAGGATACGTGCATGTAAATTGTAAAGAGTCCTAAAGAAATACAATACACAAGTGGATGTAGCTCTTCATTAACAGAGTGAACCACTATAAAACTCGTGTGTCCTCTCCTTTAAGTATTGTTTTTCACGCCCACAAAACACAACAAACACTTTATAGCATAATTTCAAATATACAACTAATTTCTAGCCGGTAACCCCACAGGATACCAGAGGGTGATCCGGTGTATTTCTGTTGACGAAATTTCACCGTCAACAATTGGTGACTCCACTGGGGACCGAACCCAGAATCTCTGGTTCATGCGTTAGTTGACATGCCTTTAAGAAGAAGAATCGAGGCCATCAACCAAGGCGGCCAGGTGGAATAAACTGCCACACATCCGGCAAACAACGGGATGGAAGAAGATCTACCCCCGGTTAGAAACGGAGCCCCACCTCTAGACGTGTCACAACCAGATCCTGTGCAGGTGCAGGCCCAGCTCACTACCCTAATCGACCTGGTGCGGGGACTAATGACTGTGGTTGAGCGCTTGGACGAAAGAAACTCGATGCCGCCACTGGAAGACGCCCCGAGACCGATAGAAGCCGCCATGGCTGGAAACCACAACCCCAGTGACTGCCAAGACATCCTGGAGGGAGTCGGGGATAGTGAAAATCTTCGGGGTGATCCCAGGCCTCGGCCCGCCCAATCCACCAGCAGTCGTCCAAGGGCCGCCGGACTCCGGGCTCCGGAGAACCAAATAGCCGGAGGCCTGGGAAACCCCTAAATGCCACCTCAGAACCTTGGCAGGAACCCTTTAGGAGATGCGGGGTCGGTGCAGGCGGGTGGACGGGCAAGAGGCGGACCCAATGCGCAAAGGGCTGAGGCGTCAAGAGGAGCTGGCTCAGCAATCTCTACGAATGAGGCCCTAGCCATTATGGAGCGCATGGCCAGCCTAGAGCAAAAGCTCACGGGCGATGTCGTCGGCCTAAAGAAAAACATAGGACGAGTGGCCGAGGTGGTGAACGTCGACATCACACCAAGTCGGACGCACGACCACCCATTTACCGAGGAAATTATGGCACCATTTCTCCCTGATAAATACACATCACCCTCGATCCCACCATATAACGGCAGGGGGGATCCCGATGATCACTTAGAAATGTACACAGGGTACATGCTGGTACATGGATATGCCGAGGAGATCATGTGCCGAGCCTTCCGAAACCATTTGACAGACTCTGCCCGGAGATGGTTTCGAACGCTAAAACCAAACTCCATCTCGAGCTGGGATGAGTTGAAGGAAGCTTTTTCCCTCCAGTTTATAGGAGTAAAAAAGTATGTCCCTCCAAAGAAGAACTTGACTACAATATACCAGAAGCCAAACGAGTCATTAAAAAGAATGGCTCGCAAGGTATGGGGAAGCTGTTGCCATAACGATGGACATAACCGACAGGGAAGCCTTGATGGGGGCATTATCTAGCATGAAGAAAATTACCCCCTTCAAGAGAGAGCTGAACCGGAAGCCTCCGTCCAGTTACAAAGAATTCCTTGCACGAGCGCAAGGGTACATCAATGCTGAGAAAGCAGATGCAAACGACCCCGAGCACAGGTCCAACAAAAATAAAGGGACTGAATAAGGGTCGAGGCAGGGAAATAGGACGGAAAGAAGCGACGAGGCGGAGGAGGCGGAGACAAACAATCTGCTTCGGCGCCAAACACTCCAGAAACTAAGAAACCGAGGCAAGAGGAGAACCGCAAGCCTCGACCGTTTCAAATGTACGACTCCTACCATCAATTAACAGTAGGAGTCGAGGAAGTGTTTAATCAAGTAGGTCGCGGGAACTTACTGCGCCGCCCCGAGCCGATGAGGTCAGATCCGAGCCGAAGGAACCAGAAGAAATATTGTAGGTTCCACGGTGACGTCGGCCACCATACCAACGATTGCGCCAACCTAAAAGATGAAATAGAAAGGGTAATCCGAGAAGGAAGGCTGCAGGAGTTCAAGGCCGAGCGAAGGCCAAGAAACGATGGCCATGGTGACCAAAATGGTAGTCGACGTCAAGAGGAGAAACGACGACCAGAGGACCGGGAACCCGTCGGCGTCATACGAACCATCCTCGGTGGTCCGTATATTGGAGGAGACTTGAGAATATCTCAGAAAGACTACGCCCACGAAGCCAAAGGGGTGTACCAGGAAAGGTTCTGGAATGTCTCTGCCATAAAAGCAACAAGGTTCGGCAGTGCTGACGTAGCATTTAATGAGGACGATGCCAACGGGGTTCACTTCCCCCATAACGACGCTTTGGTGGTAGAAGCCGTAATCAGAAATCACATCGTATGCTGAATTCTGGTGGACAATGGAAGCTCGGTAGACCTCCTATACTCCGACTGCCTAGAAAAGATGGGGATCCCGAAGGAGCAATTGGAAAAACCCTCTAGACCATTGTACGGTTTCACTGGGGATTCCGTCATCCCTTAGGGAACAATCCGACTGCCTATAAACGTAGGGGAGAAACCCCGACAGGCCACCATAATAACCAATTTTGTGGTAATAAAAGGAGGCTCCCAATACAATGCCGTCATTGGAAGGCCGACCCTTTAGGCGTTAAGGGCAATAACGTCCATTTACCACCAGAAGGTCAAATTCCCTACCTCAAACAGAGTCGGTTAAAATAAAAAGAAACCATTACGAGGCTAGAGTTGTATATTCTGATGCCTTACGTAGATACGACCAGCCCGGGAGGCAGGAGTCCAGAGTGGTCTATCAGGGTGCCGTAAAAGACATAGGCCCCAGGGTCCAAGAGGAGGCCGCATGGTCTCAACCCGTCGAACAGCTGGTGGAGATCCGAGTCGACAAGGATGAGCCAACCAGAGTGCTCAAAATAGGCTCTGACTTAACCCCATCACTTAGGGTGGAAGTCGAGAGTTTCCTCAAAAAGAACCTGGATGTCTTCGCCTAGAATCATGCGGATATAGAAGGGATCGACCCAGGAGTCATATGCCATTCTCTGAACATCGACCCCTCATATCCCCCCAAATGCCAGAAGCACCGACCAATGAACCCGGAGAGGTACGAGGCATTAAAAGAAGAGGTCGATAAGTTGATCAACAACGGTTTCATTAGAGAGGCCCATTACCCTCGGTGGGTCTCAAACCCCATTTTGGTAGTCAAGCCTAACGGGACATGGAGAACATGCATCGACTTCAGTGACCTTAACAAAGCATGCCCAAAAGATGGTTTCCCACTCCCTCGAATAGACCAAATGGTCGACGCCACTGCAGGGCATGAGATGCTAAGTTTTATGGATGCCTATTTTGGATACAACCAGATCCCCATACATCCAACTGACGAAGAGCACACATCCTTCATAACCGATAAAAGCCTCTACATATCAAAGGCTCGTGAATAAAATGTTTGCTCGACTACTCGGTAAATCAATGGAAGTTTACGTCGATGATATGCTTGTAAAGAGTACCAGGGCCACCCATCACGTCGACCATTTGGGGGAAATGTTTTGTGTATTAAGGAGATACCACATGAAGTTAAACCCCCTAAAGTGCACCTTTGGAGTCGGATCGGGGAAATTCCTCGTTTTCATGGGCAGTAACCGGGGAATAGAGGCTAACCCTGAAAAGATAAAAGCCTTGCAGGATATGAGGTCTCCAACTAATCCAAAAGAGGTTCAAAGGTTGACAGGGTGTGTCGCCGCTCTAAACAGATTCATATCAAAGGCAACAGAAAAGTGTGTCCCCTTCTTCGACGCTTTAAAAAGAAGTAAGCATTTTGAATGGACGCCACACTGTGAGGAGGCCTTCCAAAAATTAAAAGAGCACCTGGGCATGCTGCTGATCCTATCAAAACCCATCACCAACGAAGAGCTAAGCCTATACCTCTCCGTGTCACAACACGCCATGAGCTCTGTGCTGATAAGAGAGGAAGAAAAAGTCCAGCTGCCAGTCTACTATGTAAGCAAAAGACTCCTCGACGGTGAGTCAAGATACGCTGAAATGGAACAACTGGCCCTCGCCCTGATGATAGCCTCAAGGAAGCTTCGGCATTACTTTCAATCCCACACAATACGGGTTCTAACAAATCACCCGTTAAGGCAGGCATTGCAAAAACCCGAAACTTCTGGTCGACTTCTCAAATGGTCGGTAGAGCTAAGCTAGTTCGACATCAAGTATGTACCAAGAACAGCAATTAAGGGGCAGGCGCTGGCGGACTTCCTAGCTGAGTTCTCTCATAGGCCAACTCCCTCCACACACGAAGTCAAGACGACAAGGTGGAGGCTCTACGTAGATGGAGCATCGAACGAAAACGGGTCAGGAGCCGGTGTCCTATTGATCAACCCAGAAGGCCACAAAATTACTTCGGCGGTACGATTTAAATTCAAGGCGTCGAATAATGAAGCCGAGTACGAAGCACTGATTGCCGGATTACGATTGGCGAATCATTTAAAAGTCGAGAGGCTCGGCATCTTCAGTGATTCTCAACTGGTCGTTGGACAAGTAAATGAAGAATACCAAGCGCGCGGTGAAAAAATGGGTGCATACTTGAGAAAAGTAAAGGAAGAGCTCGTCTGCTTCAAAAGCTATGAAATACTTCAAATACCACGAGCTGAGAACACCAACACCGACGCCTTGGCGAAACTAGCATCATCCAGGGATTTCGACATGCTAGGGATTGTTCCCATCGAAGACCTGGAGCGGCCAACAATTGAGGAAAAAATTGAGGCCTTGACCATCCAGACGGACGAGGGTTGGATGACACTACTAATCCAATATCTGACAAATGCAAAGCTGCCAAGTGATAAAGATGAGGCCCAACGACTCAGATATAGAGCCGCCAGGTACCTATTATACGACGGTTTGCTTTACCGACGAGGCTACTCCACGCCTTTGCAGCGATGCCTAAACGATGGCGAAGCCCAGAGGGTCCTCCAGGAAATCCATGAAGGAGTATGCGGTAATCATACTGGGGGACAGTCTTTAGCTCTCAAGGTTTTGAGACAGGGATATTATTAGCCTATGCTAAAAAAAGACGCATTTTGATCCGCTCGACACTGCGATAAATACCAAAAATATGCCACAATTCCTAGAGCACCCCCAGAAAACCTAACCCCAATTCTCAGCCCATGGGCCTTTCCCAAATGGAGGGTTGATCTAATCGGGCCCCTACACCTCACACCAGGAGGCTTTAAGTTTGCCATCGTCGCAGTAGACTACTACACTAAATAGGTAGAAGCGAAGGCTCTAACAACGACCACGGAAGCAGTTTGCACCAACTTCATGTGGAACAACATCGTGTGCAGATTTGGGGTCCCACACTCGATAGTATCTGACAATGGGAAACAATTTGATAATGCCTCAACGCGAGATTCTGCGACACCTTAGGCATCCGAAAAGACTTCTCAGCGCCAATACATCCACAATCCAATGGTCAAGTCAAGGCTGTCAACAAGATACTAAAGTATACCCCAAAGACGAAGCTCGATGATTTAAAAGGGAAATGGGCAGAACAACTTCCAAATGTCCTGTGAGCATATAGAACGACAAGCCGAACTACCACAGGTGAAACACCCTTCTCCATGATATATGGCATCGAGGCGGTACTCCCCATAGAAATTGAAACGCCGACTCTGTGAACTGTCATTTACAATAATGACGCAAATATGAACGCCGTGAATGGACAACTCGACCTGTTAGAAGAAAAAAAGGCTCGACTCCCAATTACGCCTCACCGCCTATCAGTAAAGGGCAGCACGATATTACAACAAAAAAGTTAAACAACGAAGGTTCATCCCAGGAGACCTAGTATTGAAAAGGGTAATACAGAGTACAAACCCCAAAAATAATGGTCCTTTGGGTCCAACTTGGGAAAGACCCTACCGAGTGAGGGAAGTATTGCGTCCTGGCACCTACATTCTGGAAAGCCTCTCCGGCAAGCATATTCAGCTGCTGTGGAATGCAGAACAGCTAAGGCTGTACTACCAGTAGTGTATGTAATTTTTTAACCCATCTTAGTTATCTTTTTGGCAATTTAAATAAATTGATGAGTTTTTAGAAATATTGTCCAAAAAATAAGAGAAATTCACCCCTTACATAAACATGTCTACTTAAAAAACCAACCCATATTAAACAGACAAGGGGGGCAGTAAGGGATCTATGGATCACTAAAAAACTTATTACCGACGAGGCTACTCCACGCCTTTGCAGCGATGCCTAAACGATGGCGAAGCCCAGAGGGTCCTCCAGGAAATCCATGAAGGAGTATGCGGTAATCATACTGGGGGGCAGTCTTTAGCTCTCAAGGTTTTGACACAGGGATATTATTAGCCTATGCTAAAAAAAGACGCATTCCGATACGCTCGACACTGCGATAAATACCAAAAATATGCCACAATTCCTAGAGCATCCCCAGAAAACCTAACCCCAATTCTCAGCCCATGGGCCTTTCCCAAATGGAAGGTTAATCTAATCGGGCCCCTACACCTCACACCAGGAGGCTTTAAGTTTGCCATCGTCGCAGTAGACTACTACACTAAATAGGTAGAAGCGAAGGCTCTAACAACGACCACGGAAGCAGTTTGCACCAACTTCATGTGGAACAACATCGTGTGCAGATTTGGGGTCCCACACTCGATAGTATCTGACAATGGGAAACAATTTGATAATGCCTCAACGCGAAGATTCTGCGACACCTTAGGCATCCGAAAAGACTTCTCAGCGCTAATACATCCACAATCCAATGGTCAAGTCATGGCTGTCAACAAGATACTAAAGTATACCCCAAAGACGAAGCTCGATGATTTAAAAAGGAAATGGGCAGAACAACTTCCAAATGTCCTGTGAGCATATAGAACGACAAGCCGAACTACCACAAGTGAAACACCCTTCTCCATGATATATGGCATCGAGGCGGTACTCCCCATAGAAATTGAAACGCCGACTCTGCGAACTGTCATTTACAATAACAACGCAAATATGAACGCCGTGAATGGACAACTCGACCTGTTAGAAGAAAAAAAGGCTCGACTCCCAATTACGCCTCACCGCCTATCAGTAAAGGGCAGCACGATATTACAACAAAAAAGTTAAACAACGAAGGTTCATCCCAGGAGACCTAGTATTGAAAAGGGTAATACAGAGTACAAACCCCAAAAATAATGGTCCTTTGGGTCCAACTTGGGAAGGACCCTACCGAGTGAGGGAAGTATTGCGTCCTGGCACCTACATTCTGGAAAGCCTCTCCGGCAAGCATATTCAGCTACTGTGGAATGCAGAACAGCTAAGGTTGTACTACCAGTAGTGTATGTAATTTTTTAACCCATCTTAGTTATCTTTTTGGCAATTTAAATAAATTGATGAGTTTTTAGAAATATTGTCCAAAAAATAAGAGAAATTCACCCCTTACATAAACATGTCTACTTAAAAAACCAAGCCATATTAAACAGACAAGGGGGACAGTAAGGGATCTATGGATCACTAAAAAACTTAGAAAATTTTACGAAATTTTCTAAGATGACGACCCCAAGGGGCAAAGCTAACACCGATTCCACAAAGGAAGAGAGGCAAGGGAAAAACTTAGAAAATTTTACGAAATTTTCTAAGACGATGACCCCAAGGGGCAAAGCTAACGCCGACTCCTCCAAGGAGAAGAGGCGAGAGAAAAACTTAGATAATTTTACAAAATTTTCTAAGACGACGACCCCAAGGGGCAAAGCTAACGCCGACTCCTCCAAGGAGGAGAGGCGACAAAAAAACTTAGAAAATTTTACGAAACTTTCTAAGATAACAACCCAAAGGGGCAAAGAAAGCAATAAAAATAATTGTAAAATCTACCATCTTCAAAAAACATAATATGAAAAGAAATTATAAATATTATATAAATAGTGTCAACATATAACATCACACAAAAAAAAGCGGAGAAATCCTAAGCATCGCCGCCAGCCGCCGAGTCATCACCATCAGGCGGAGAAGAAGTGTCGTCATCAGCAAGAGGAGGAGGAATATAAAGGAAGCTCAGATCCCACTCAGGATGCTATTGCTTAATTAGATCAACAATTTGTTGACAGATTGGAAGTCTTTGGTGCGAATATCGATAAGCTCTGGAGAAGCCTTAAACTCCTCAATAATCTCTGCACGCTTGGCGTCGAACATTGTTGAGGCATCGGCTTCAGCTTCTCTTTTCCCCTCACCTTTTCCCTCGGCAAAGCACTTCTCCACAGCTTCCGTTGCTTCAGCCGATTTCTTCTCAGAGGCCTCCGCCCGCCTCGTAAGATCTTTGACCGCGGCCTTCAGACTGACCACCTCATTTTCAAGACTCCATAGCTTGGCTAGTTCTCCTTCCAAACTTTCTAGCTTGGCCACAGCTACGTCCCTCTCCTCGATGGCAGACATATGCTTTTTATTGGCAGCATCAAGAAGAGAGTTAAGCTTGGCCTCCACGCTGTCCATCTCCTTGCCACGTTCCTCAACCTTGACCAGATCAATGAGATTGAGAATGGCAAGGACTAGGCCCTAAGAAAATTGGGAGTCAGAATAAAGGTACGAGGAAACGAATATTTAAAAAAAAAAAAGGAAAGCGCGGTCGAAACTTACATGAATCTGGAAGGAAATCTGCTTGCGCTAACGATCCACCAGAGAAGACTGAGCGGCGGAGATCCAGTGCGGCTCAAGGAATGATTCATATAAAGCCTGAAAGATGAGGGAAAAAGGAGGAGGAAGCTTCATCATAGCCCCAATCTCG